GGAAATGTTCTTTTGGAGTTGAAGAAATATTGGGCCTTTTAATATTACAGCCAAGGAAAATGATGGGCTTTTAATTGTTGGTTAGTGTGATTGGCATTACTATGTGGACTAGCCCAGTTTGAGTTTTGGTGCCTACCTTTGCAGTTTAGTGTTTGTCCTTTTCTTAATGATGATGGAGAATAACTTCTAAATCTGTGGATCAGGATTAGGGTGGATTGGTAAGTATAATCATATTTTTTGAATTCAAGTTTTCTTGGGTATGTAGGCGCCTTTGTTAGGAGCGTTTTACCTGCACGAATCCGAATTTAATTGAGCCTCAATACAAATATCGAACACTAGATAAATTATTTTTTTTTAAAAAACTACTCTAAGTAGATGAAGAAATGAATAAAGGTGTAACAAGACAAGCTTGAGCCTAACGTTTTGGACTGATATTAGGTACGTAGCGTAAAATAGCATATCCTACTATAGTCCTACAAGCTGCTAATTTTATTCAACTTTGTAGCTAGAATTGATGCTCATTTTATTATTCACTCCAAAAAGAAGAATAAAAGAATCATCAACTATTTAAGTTGTTAAAAGTGAAAGTAATATTCAATTGTGAATTCCAAGACGGATTTAGTACATAACATATAAGTTCATATGAATCTAACAACTTTGTTTAAATGAACGGATTTAGTTTTCAAAATTTTATTTAAATATCTTTAAATGTTTGATTATGAGTTATCTTTTTAGATTAACTTGAGATAGTTATGCAAAACGATCAAATTCTGACTACGTTTCTGACTCCAATCAAAACTTCAAAACTCCATTGAGTGAAAGAAATATTGTTGAAGAGAATTATTGCCACTCTAATCCATTCATGTAAGATAAGTATTCTTGTTGTTTTCCATGTGAAAAAAAGCAGGTCTATACTCTATGTACCTAAAATTCTATACCAGACAATACCTATAAATTTGAAATGACATTTCTCTTAATATATAAATTTGTTTTGTTTCACATTTTATATTATATCTTAATTCTTTACCTTGTTATTCTAAAAATAATAATGAAACATAGAGCTATAAGAACCATTCATATCTCATCAAGCATGCGAGCATTTGTTCTTTACCTTTGAGTTTTATTCCTCAATCAGTAATAAGTCTTTTCAATGTCATTTCATTTCACCAGACTCCGTCCGTGCGAACTTACTTACATTAAAAAAAGGAAGGTTATGATAAGCTGACAATCAATATAAATTTTTACTCTCATGATATCTAATATGATGAAGATATACAATAAATTTAAATAAAAATAAAAATTTATATAGTCGACCTAACTTATTCAGTTGTGACTGAGATGTAATTATTTTTTTGTTTGTATTTATCTTCTCCATATCGTAAGTTTCTATTACTAGCCTATACGATTCTGCACATCTTTAGGCATTTGGTATATGATAGTGGTAACAAAGGAATAATTAAAGCTTCTGAATTTGGATATATATATGTATATATATATATATATGCTTTTCTTTTACCTAACGAAACGGAAGAAAAATTCATTAGTATTATTTTTATTAAGAAAACGACATACTCCTTCTCATTTTTATTTTTATAAAAAAAATAAAATTGATCCACTATTATATTGCTATATTAATATTTGACAAGTCAATTCTTTTCATATTCTTTTGTTTAATGATTATGTCTGGAAATTAATTATGCCAATGTTTTTTTTTTTTAATTGGAGTTGTCACTCTTTAAATGGTGGATGCAATGAGAAATGAGAACCACCATAATTGTAGGAAAAAAAAGAGAAGAAATAGTGATAAAAATAAAGATAAATAAGGAGAATAATTAAGAAAGACTAAAGACAAACATATTATAGTGTACTTAATCATTGTCATTACCAAAGATCCCTGCATTATTAACGTTTAATTTTTAATGTATTGTTTTCCACTTAAAGTTAATACTCAAATTAAAGCTGTTATATATTTAGTACAAAATTCCTTCTTCTGGAATATGTTTCCGCTTCGAGCCACCGTAGCCACATATAATAAAGGGGATTTATGTAAATTAGAAAAAAAATTGTTTAAAAGTTATATCGCGTAAAGTAATTTTTCTGAATTCTCTTAATATTGGAAAAATACATGTTTAAAGTACTCAAATTAAAGTTTTTTTTTATGAATTAGCTATTACCCATACATATATACCTTGTCATTTTAAAAAAAAAAGAATTTCTCTAAATATTTGATTTATAGAGAATATATTTGTATGTTTGACTTACTATTCACGTATACAAATAAGAAAGCCAAAGTGGAAGGCAAAGAGATCCCACCAATATTGTAATGCATGCATTATTGCCGCTCTATTATATTGTTGCCATTATTATTGCCTTTGATTTTGAAATACAATACGCCAAGGATTAAGAGGTAACACATTTATATGAAACAAAAATATCTATTCTCACCCTTCCAATTCCTTTTCAATGTCTTTCACTTATCCTTTTTATCTTTTATCATCTGTCTCTTCACCATTACTGTTAATTTCTATTTCTAGCTAGTCATATGTTCAAACTTTGATGAACAAACTTATTTCCTATTGTGAAATTAAGATGATAGGTATTCAGTGAAATTAATTAGTCGGGTGTAAGTGAGCTAGCTAGTCTTGTCAACCCCAGAACGGATGACATAAGAATTTTTTTTCTATCTATTTTTAGTCATCTTTCTAAATAGTTTTTTGTGAACAAAGTTATTTATTACTTGCGTGGGTAGAAGATATATACCATGTATCCCAAAATTAATAAGATGAGTTGCGTGCAAGCTAACTCAAGTACTGGGGTTATAAGAGAAAAAGAATATTTCTAGTCATCTATCAAACCCTTGATGAACAAAGTTATTTCGAACAAATTAATTATTTGTTATATGTGTTGGTTTAAAAGAATAAGTACTTCATTAAATTAATTAGTTGAGTTACACTCAAACTGATTCAGGAAACACGATTAAAATTTATATATATTTATATGAATCCATTGATCACCTACAAATTAAAGTTGTTAAAGCCTTAATGAATTAAGCACAACATAGAGGTTAGAACTTATTCCGTTTAATTATAAACAAATAAAAACGCCATAAAGCATAGATCAAGTGCATGATGGATTCTTCTTTTGCTTTATGATTATGTTTAGAAATTGAATGAATAATGGTGGCTGGAACATTCTTTTTTTATTGCACTTTAATGGTGAAGTACTGAGAACCACCAAAATCAGAAGAAAAAAAAAGTGAAGGACAAACCGTATTACACAGTAAGTCTACGTTGTTGTTGATTAATTGGGAAAAGTTTTGACATTTTCATTCTTAGTAATAAATAAAAAGATTCCTTTGCCAATATGCACTTTTAGTATATATTTCCAGTTAATCTTTTTACTAAAAGCAGTGTATTTTATTTAGCACGAAACCCCATGTGTTTGTGGATCAGTGGATGCCTTTTATTATTCCACTCAACTTTAAGTTGTCATCGTTTAATTTGAAACCTCTAACTTCTTTGAAAATAAAATATTATTTGAATTTAATTTAACTTTAAAAATTAGCTTAAGAGATGAAGATCGTTTAAAATTATATAAAAAGTTCAAACTTTCTTCCCATTGTTGACTTCCTCCCAGTACGTACATGGCTGGACATCTAGAATTTAGGCAATTTAACAAGCGGTCGAACATGATAAACGAATGTGTCTCTAGTTCTAATAACATCTTAAAAAATAAACATTCGATATAACTCTATCCTAAAAGCTAGCTCAAGAAGTGGAGACTGTTCAATACCACCCAGAGTTAAGTATCGACTTTACACAGGGCTGAAATCTAAATTTGAAATATGTAAAACTAATTTAATGTACTCTACTAATTTGTATTTATTTAATATATTAATATGAAAGTTACTGAATTCGACTGAACTCGTAAGGAATATTCTTGCTCCACTCCTGCTGATATAATACCCATTATTAAAAAGAGAAACGTTCTTTATTAGAACTGGTAACTTCAGTACCTTAGAAGTCATGAAATGTAGAGAAGTCAAAGTGGAATATTGTCAAGTGAATTGTTACAGAATCTTCCAGCTTATATAATGAAGCACTTTGAATTAATGTTAAATACCTCTTTTAATTAAAACTCGTAGCTAGTTACTACTCTCTATGCATGACAAATAACTTTTAGTTCTAGGAATCTATACGTTTTGATTTTAATTTAGAAGGTTAGTGGAGAAATGGACTCATCCATATGTTTTATATAAGCACTAAATGAAAGGCTAATGGAAGGTAGTAGAATAAGCATGGTCAACCTGGTGTTAAGATTTTATTCATCTTTTCTCCTAACAATTAATCAAGATGATTTACTTTATTAAAGGAAGATGATTATAAATTGATTTTTGCCCACTTCCAAGAAATTCACCTACCATGATTCTTCCCCTAGCTCCTGTTTAATTTTTCATCAAAAGAAAGCAAAGATAGCAGCATGGATAACTAAACAACGCGTGTGCAAAGACTTTATTTCAATGACAATAATAACATTTTAGTGTATTCTTACGGACGGAGAGACTGTTTTCAATAGACCTTGAACTCAATAGCAAAGATGCAGCATCAATAACTAAACACCGCGTGTCCAAACACAAATTTAACTTTCAAATATATGTCAATCTTTAAATATCAACCAATTCATGTCCAAACGTCTGCGTTGTTGCTGGAGAAAAATAGTCAGCTCCATGATTATATTTGTATAGTGAATTGGATCTTGTGTTCAATAACAATATCAAGTGGAAACACATGACTGCTGTCTAGAGTTCAAATGCTTTGTTCTTTTAAATCTTCCAAATACAAAGGATTTTGATTCTTGCCCCACTTTCCACTTCCAAAAATCCCACTTTCCTTTTCAATCTTTCAATTCCATCCACAAACTTTTTCTCCAAGTCAAACATTCTTCATGGTTAATGATGCAAAATAGAACTATAAATAGTATTCACTGGCCAGGCTCACTGTCAGTATACACAAGGACAAAGTAGAGTTAACTCAACTTTGTCTAGCTATTAATACATTGTAAGAGTATTTGTGTAATTCTGCCCCTGACTTCAATTACAAACTCTTATTTCTCGGTCTAACTTGATAATCTTTGAGAAATAGGCCTCTTTTCGACTTTAATCTCACAGGAACACGTTGTTGAGAAATCAATAGACACGATGGACCCTGAAGAAGGTGTATCAGCCCCTTCAACACCAGCAACTCCGGGAACGCCTGGTGCTCCTCTCTTTGGTGGATTGATCAAGCATGAGAGGAGAAACGGAGGGAATGGCAAAAAATCCTTTCTTAAGAGCTGTAAATGCTTCAGTGTCGAACCATGGGCATCGGAAGAAGGAACCTTGCCTGCTGTTTCATGCATGTTACCTCCTCCTCCTGTTTCATTAGCTAGAAAGGTGAGAAAAGTACAACCAGAGACGATGATTCAGGATTTAAATTACGTTATTGATATTTTTGTTAAAAATGTTGAGTTCAGTTGAATGTGTTGATTATAGGCGAATGCAATGTATAGCTGATATGAAGATTGGTTTTGTATCAGGTGGGAGCAGAGTTTATAGGTACTCTGATACTGATATTTGCTGGGACAGCCACAGCCATAGTGAACCAGAAGACACAAGGCTCTGAAACATTATTTGGACTGGCAGCCTCGACGGGCCTCGCTGTAATGATTGTGATTCTGTCAACTGGCCACATCTCTGGAGCTCATCTCAACCCTGCTGTGACTATTGGTTTTGCTGCTCTCAAACATTTCCCCTGGAAACATGTATGAATACACGCTCTGTACCACTTAGGACTCATTTGTTAGCACTTAACGGATTGTTTATTTTGCATGTGTGTTAATTTTTTTGACAGGTTCCTGTGTACATTGGAGCACAAATTATAGCATCATTTTGTGCTGCATTCACATTGAAGGTAGTTTTGCACCCAATAATGGGTGGTGGAGTCACTGTTCCTTCTGGTAGTTATGTTCAAGCTTTTGCTTTGGAACTCATCATCAGCTTCAATCTCATGTTCGTTGTCACTGCCGTGGCCACTGACACTAGAGCTGTAAGCATTTACTCTTCTGATGGTTTCTCTGTTCTTACTTGTCAATTCATAAATGGTTTGTTTATTTATTCATTTCCGAAATTTACTCACATCCGATATTTAAGCTAGGGTTGTTTTTCTTGGCAAACTATAGGTAGGAGAGCTTGCGGGAATTGCTGTAGGAGCCACTGTCATGCTCAACATACTAATAGCAGGGTAACTATCTGCAACTCTTGCCCTGTTTTAGCTGTAGTCCTATGGAGTTCATTTTTGCATCTTGGAGTATTCATCCAACAAGTAACAACAATCCTTTTTTTGGGCTCAACCATAGTCTCCTGAGCTACGACTACCTAAAAATCAATATCATGTCATGTAAGACCTATTTAGGGGAATGGTTTTTCATCTCATGGCTCGACCTAAGACTTCTGATTAAGGGTGAAAAAATTTATATCCATTCCTACCATACTCTTTATTTGCACAAAGATCTTCAATCAAGATTGAGTAGCTATTTATTTCTTGGAGTGTTTTTCATGCTGATAGAAAAGTTCCCCTGAAATGAAGATCCATGTACTAGTTAAAGTGTTTGTTTGTCCAGCTAAATGGAAGCTTTAGAAGTTACTTTGGATGCATAAAGTAGCAGCTTACTTGAATAAAATACTTCTACCTCTTCTTCCATTTATGTGATACTTTTTCTTCTTTTAACTTTGACAACTTTTTCAAGCACAATTTTTTTCTCTAACTAATAATTCTCAAAATATCTTTTCAACACATAATTACTCCGTCCAAACAATGATCTGACATAAAATGAATGAGCACTAAGGAAGTAATACATATACAATAATGAAATAATGACATCTTCCATGGGAATCCCTTTAGTAGCCTGTGAAAAAATAAGACTCTTAAATAACAGTCTCTCACAATTTGTATTTCTTGTGTTTTAGGGAGACAACTGGGGCTTCAATGAATCCAGTGAGAACCCTCGGACCAGCAGTAGCAGTAGGAAACTATAAAGCCATCTGGATCTACCTCACTGCTCCAATTCTCGGAGCTCTCATTGGGGCAGGAGTTTACTCTGCTGTCAAACTGCCTGATGAAGTCGGAGACAATCATCCAAAGCCTTCCCTGGAACATAGTTTCAGAAGGTAATTCATCAGTAACACCATCAAACCATGATAATCGTCTATATTAGTAGATGGTGTGCAGTTCTATGAATGTAAAAACATCTGGAAGGCAAGGGTGGGTTGAATAAAACAAAATCTTTCCACTCTCTTCAAATGTACAGATTTTGAGCAAGATATAACTTATCAAAGAACAGATTCGAGCAAGATATAGTGACAGAGAGAGAAAAGAAAGGAATGAACATTGGTGAGCTACTATTGACAAAACTTATGCGATGTGTAGAATTGGTGAGTTTTTACTGGATTGTAAAAGAGATTTCTGTATAACGTGTCTAAGTTGACAGAACTAGTGCCAAATGAAGTGCATATTCTTTTTCTTATTCATTTGTCTGAAATCTTGGATGGGTATGAAGTACAACTAAGAGTCTCCTACATTGTCTCTTCTGGATAATTCCAGCCATTGTGAATAATTAGGAAGCCAGCTAAACTGCACTGAAACAGATACAAAATATGAAAAAAAGAAGTATTGTGCATACATATACTGCCAAATAGGCACAGGGGAATCCAGCTTATTATCATACTAAAAGTTTTCCTTTCTGCAGTTAGAGCGCATAACTGGGATATAACTCTCCGTATTGAGTTCAACCTAGGCATGAAATTGTTAACTCTGTGCACTACTGATTTAACTATTAAAATTTTCACCACCAACATTTTTTTTTTCTTTTATAAACATGTTTCAGTATTGATCATTTACCTCAAGAGATGGCAAGTAAATTGTCCGTTTTCTGTTAGGTCACTTGAATGCAAAAAAGGACAATTTACTTGCTTTGTCACTTGAATGCTAAATCCATGTGAAAAGCAAATTCAACTACCTTCAAAAGAGGTACTAAAAAAATAAGACAGAAACAAGGAAGCCCAAAATCCGCTTTCGTTGGTAGATTTGGCTATTTAACTTGGGACAATAAAGCAAGCAAAAACAAGATCCAAAGTCCTAATAACTGCAACAACAACTATTCTACCAAGTGTGATATATATAATAAAGTCATGGAAATTAGATAAAAATATGATGTCAAACTTGAAGGAAAAATCAATAATGGAAGCCAGAACAAAAACAATTCACTATTTCTGGGACTAATTTATTTTATCTACTTCATATGTATTACTTTGTCATGAGTAAATGGTTACACATTCTACACTGTTTGCAATAGAATTCCCATTACGTCTCTCTGTTATAGTCCTTTAATTTACTCTTTTAAGTTCTTCCTCAAAAAGAAGAAAAAAGGCAATTTATCCAGTTCAAAAATTGAAAAGATTTAAATGATGAAACAAGGAAATTGAGCGTCGGGAAGTACCAAATTGTATGATCGGTTTACTCCAAGTAACCGACTAAACCATCTGGAGTACTTTAGCTTGAACGGATTGATCGGGCCTCCGGCGTATGAAGGATGATTTGTAGAGAGAAAATGCGAGAGCAGCGATAAGAGTACCAAAGACGTCGGCAACAGCGTCCTTGGTAGATGCACCTGCTGACCTGAAAAAACCCAGTTCGTCGGCGACCTCCTTAGCGGCGCCGGCAGCGAGTGAAATAATGGATCCGACCCAGATGCTCCGGCGGCGGATGAAAGGGTAACGAGTTTTTTCCGCGAGAAGAGTGAAAATGATAGCAATGAAGAAGCAGAAGAGGATGTGGTAAAGCTTATCAGGGGCTATCCAATCATCTCCTTCCTCCATTCCTTTTTTGTTTGCCCCAAACAATTACTCAAACCAAAAAGGAAAAACTAGCTAAATGGATCATAAATTGATTAATTATTTTGCTTTTTATATGAGAGTATTTGCTTAATTTCCCTACCAAAAAAGGGCTGGTCGCCATTAGATCTTCAGTCAAAATAACAAGTATGATATTGGTTTTACTTTTCTTGTACATATCATATGCAAATATCAATCATCCTTGATTATTCATCGTTTCCAAATGCCTCGTTGTTACTATTACAACTCCGTTTCTTTATTAGCCTTGTTTATCAACTTGGGATCATTTTATTTTGTACTAAAGATGGACCTGAGTACCACCGGCTCACTCCAATTTGTTCTCATTTCGTCTTCACAACGATAGGATTAGTGCAGAAGCTTTCAACAGTTACATAGTATAATATTGGTCCTACACAAAAAACCCGGACTACGGTAAATGGATTTGGCTTCAAGACACAAATAAGAAACAACCCACGAAGAGGCTACTGAGATCCACGGACGGTAAAAAAAATGAATATCGTTTTAACTACAATTCTTCTGCATCATACGAGAAAGTTTTAAATGCTACATACTTAGATGACACTATCACAAACAATGATTACACCCAACAAATAGACCCACTTGAATATGCTAATTCATCTTGCTGACCAGTTCATTGATGTGATCCTCACGATTGCCTGAATCGCCCCCATCCAAAAATCGTTTTTTCTTACCCTGCAATGCCTTTTCTGGCTTGGTGAGAGCAAAGGGACACAGGAAACTAGTGACCTCTTTGAAATGTGGACCAACGTTGGCAATCTCAGTCACTACGTCTTCTAAACATAAAATACCATTTTGACCCAATGCCTGCAAACAGTAAATAGTTACTACACAGGAACTCCCACAAACTATATACTAAGATGATAGATGCCTTCAGCAACTTGTAAAAGGGGAAAACAAAGGAATTAAATTCATGGTACCTGTTCAACAACTTCGTTGCTGGTTAAAGGCACTCTCTGATTGTCAATTTTTCCAGCACCTTTCTTGTAAATCAGATCCTTGATGCTCTTGAGATTTGGATATCTTCAAAAGCATGAACAGAACCATTAAGACATATTCTACACAGCCCATAGTTAATGACAGCAGAGGAATACAGGGAATTTTTTTTTTGGACAAGGACAGAAAAGAAATGCAAAGACCTGCTAAAAACATTTTGTTTTACATGGTTAAAAACTTAAAATTCCTGCTTAAAGAAGGGATATATAACAGCAATTTTGATGTTCTGCCAATATCAGGCATGGTTTCCAAGTAGATGGTGACCATTAGCTGTAAAAGCAGACCTATATGATCCCGGTGTAAGTATTATTATTAACCTCCTGGTGTTGTATGATGTTAAAAAATTTCTTCTTCAAATGTAATTGTCTTCAAATTGGTGGGACCGTAGATGGATGATTATTCAGGGATAGCTGACACTGAAATATATATATGATAAAAAATATGCTACAGGAATACATAAACTTAATTAAGGTTCTCATTTTCCTCTTTCTTGACATACAGCAATTTAACTATCAAAGAAGCAAATACAGATTTTGGTATGAGGAGAAAACTGCACTCTTCAAAAGGAAAAAAAAGTATTGAGATAATACAAATATTCAAAATAAGGTCCATTAGCAGCTCTAATATGAATGTAAAATTAAATTTCTGGGACAGAGAAAGTCAGCACCAATCAATAGAACATTGAAGAAAGGGGCAACAATTGTCTCCTTCCAAAGAGAAAATAGCACAACTATTTGTATGCTTGATTGGGCAAATGATGCTTGATTGGGCAAATGCTAACACGTAGATATTGCTTACTTCTTAGACAATTGCTAAGGCTTCCATGTTGTAGAATGAGGTGTTTACTAGAGATTTTGCGTGAAAGACACACTAGATGCTAATATGCCATGCAAACATCATAATTAATGGAAGAAAAATATATCATGTTAAAGATAGCTTTAAACTTGAAACAAGCAGAGTCATGCAACATTTGTACAACTGAAACATAGAATTGACCTGCTGTTACGAGTCATTCAAATTTTCTCCTATTTAGGAAATTTCATTTTTGCCTTAGTCAAACAACTTCCTACATTTAATGTTAGTACCCCCATAGCTAGGGTATGCTTAGTTTCAGATCCAACCCAGAAGGTGGACTGTTTGGATACAGCCTACTATAGTTATGCATTAAGAAAAAAAGATATGGAAATGTCAAGCGAGGAACTTGTCCAAACTTATTTAATGCTGCAGGACATCAAACTGTCATGCAGTTGTAAGCATCAGTTATTCCAACACAGCCACCAAAGCACCTTCATGCTGTAGTTATACTAGATGTCTAACAGCACATTTAACTTGACAAGACTGACATAGCCAAGAGAGAGAAGGTAAAACACCTTGTCACATGTATCAAGGACTAGACACAAACAACGGGGACAGGGAAAAGTACTCAGCCAAAACCAAGAAACTAGTAAGATAAAAAGGTGAGATCACCCGCTTTCCAGCAAGCGTAATGCCTATAGTTTTACTGATTTGAGGTTGAGTGCTTTAAGGATATCCAGTAAAATGAGTTCATCAAATGTCATGCAGCAAAATAACAGAAAAGGCTACTTAAACCTACCCATATGTGACAAAAGGCTCCACCTTTTGCAGGATTTCCAATATTCTTGCATCTGCCTTCACAAAAACACCATTGAAGATTTTCCGCAGCCTCAAAGAGTACAAGAGCTTTCGCGTTCTTGGATGCATATCAGATTTCCTGAAGTGAAATACAATTATTAGGACCCAAAAGTAAGTTACCCTAGCCTAAAAGTAAAAGTATGATCATAAAACCAGGAACTCACCCTCCAATGCGTATGACAAAAAGGAGACTGGAATCAGAAGTGACAAAAGCTCGCCTGGATCTGTTCTTTCCCCTTTGTTTCATTTGGACAAGGTCCATCTCCTAAATATATTTACAGCAACTCAGATGAGAAGAATGTTGAACGAACAATAAGGCAAAAGTAGTTCCAGAGTGTTGTGCAGTCCTGATCCCCTAAATTTTAACATATAATGAATCTTTCCTTAATACATTTTTGTCCATACTGCTTCACAAGGTCTTTTACCATCTTTCTTCTAGAAATTGCACAAATACTGTCTCGTCTCTTTCTTGGAGCGTAATTAATTGTGTATTATGACTATCGGACCCCTAGAGAATGCTAGTGAGAAGATTTGACCACATTGATTTTCATATTCAGGAAAGACAAAGGATGCTGGTTACTTGCAAGTGATTATAAGAAAAATTGGAGATCATTTAGTTTAGGGACACCAAAATAAAGGACAAGTGAACCTGAGTAAATATCACACCTTACATACACATATATCAAAACTTAACAATTGTCACTGCCACTGCACCACAAAATTCCTGATAAAAGACTCTACAACTGATAAAGAAACTCAAAACAAAAATAAAATGCTGAAGCCAATAGAAAAAAATGGAAACATTGAACGATTGCTTGATGAAATAAATTGAATGCGTCACTAATAAAAAAATAATCAAAAGAAGATGTGTGCAAGTAATAATCTTACAGTTGACGAAGGGAAAGAACTGAAATTCAATTTAAACAAAAGATACAATTCATAGATTCACATACCTTATCCCTGTACTCTCGAATGAACTGCTCAGGCTTCTTGATAACAAAATTATCAGATTTAAGTCTCTTGACTTTCTGCTCTAGCTGGAGTTTTCTTCTAATTGCCCATTCTTCATTGTTCTTCCTCTTCTTTAAAATCACTTCTGGTATATAATTTAGAGGCTGTGGCATCTCCTCTGCCATTGTTAACTATCTCTGCCAGGAGATATGGGCAATAGTAGAAAAAAACAGTATTAGATATATGGACAATCAAACTTCTCAAAACACTAAATTTAACTCAATTTAGGGGATTGACTTGAATAAGTTGATCTCAAATGCTTGAAATCATAAGAAATTGTAAAAACTGAAAACAAAATTCTGAATAGAATGATACGGAAAACAACTTGAATTTTATGAATTTCATTCAATGAAATGCAAACTCACAACATTAAGGTAAATATTTTAGGTTTATATTAACAGACATGTCCATAGCATTAATTTTAGGAACACTCAAAGCTAGACTCACGTCCCGACATTTGAAGCGATTATCATATAGAAAAAAAATGATTTGCAAATTAATTAGTAAGAAACACAGAAAAAGTAGCTAAAGCTCACATATATATGCATTCTAACAGAAAAACCCAGTACGAAAATAGAGATATAGGTTAATTTATATTTTGGAGAGAAAGTGATAGTGATACACAGAGGTACGACAAATAAAGAGAGAAAAAGACTTACGATTAGATAACGCCTCTGGAGAGTTACGCCGACGAGTTGTTCGCCGGAGAGGAGCAAGTCCACAGACGAGGTTCAGTGGCGAGGGAGGTTTAGGGTTTTGGATTTTGGACTGGAAAAGAGGAAGAGAATAATAAGGCGATTTGAGAAATCAATAAAAAGAAGGGCCGGATCCTTATGAAATTGGGCCTCATGATATACAAATGTATTGGGCTTTTCAATTCGAAATCAGTGAGAACCAAGTCCACTTAGACACGGGAGAGAATTAGGAATTTTGTACTTTAGCGGCAGTTAATTAATAATAATATCTTAATTATCGCTAAATATGTTTTTAGATGCAATTACACTCTTTGTAAATATTCTTAAAGCCTATAGCGATATTGAGTACAATGACAATTAACTAATGCCGATAAAAACTTTAGTGTTCTTTCTTAATGTGCATATTTATTAACGCTAAAAACTGCTTTTACAATAGACCCTTTGGGGTGACACAGTGGTTTATGTAACGACCCTAAAAATGAAATAGGAAGAACTAGAGCCTCACATGTGTATTGAAGTTGGTAACTTGATTAAATAATGTAAATCGGCTTTTTGAGTTTAGTGCAAAGAGATTTGGGGTCCGTAGATGCTGCC